ATGATGATGATGATGATGATGATGATGATGATGATGATGATGATGATGATGATGATGATGCTTCCCATCACGGGTCTTTCCTAAAGCCAAAGAAGATGCATCTTCAGTTTGTCTGACAAAAAGGAAACATCAAATGTCCTCCTCCGACTCCCCAATGTGAGACCTTCCCACGAATCGCGAGGACCTTCCCACGAACGCGGTAGGCTTTGCCACTGTCAGGATTGATCTTTAGGGCTGCATCACAGTCTGCCTCGGTGAAAAATGGCTTGACCCGGGCATCCAAGCGGTCGTGCCTTTACTGTTTTCTTGATGGGACTGGGATGAATGGTTGGATGAGGCAGCTTGGATTGTCTTCGTGGATTGAAATACATGGCAGTCTGGAGACGTTTGACCAAATCTCGGGGAGGAGAACTGGAAAACTGAATCAAGAACACTTGTCATCCCAAGTGTCTTCAGCACGCTGTCTGGCTGTCTGGGAGAAGGGATTGGGGGATCTTTGGGGGGGGTGCTGCAGTTCAGGTCGAAACCCAGGATCAAGTCTCTCCAGGACGTAGGAAAAGCTGGGAAAAAGTGGATACAAAGACCCAAGAAGGTCGAAAACCACAAGAGGGAGGATACTGGTGGGACAAAACACTCCTCGAGAAGACCAGGGACGAACCTTAGGAATGTCAACCACTTGCAGTCTTTTTGGTGGTTAACATTCCTAGGTGTTCAGCCACAGGTAACCCATGCAAGAATCCTATACTAATATATACAGCGAGTTGAAGCCTATTCTTGGAGCTGCCCAAGACTTCCATAGATGCGATCTACCTACAAGCCTCTCCAAGGGTTACATCAACAGCCCAACAGCCCTCCGCACGGCCCTGTTTCACTGAGCTAACGATGGCTGAAGGTGAAACTGGGATTGGGCCAAGGACGCCATGACGCCCAAAAAACGGCAGCATGAGGACATGCGAATGACTGCACGATTAGCCTGCCAGAGATTTAAAGAAAAGAAATCGCTGAATTGTGACCATTTTCTTATGAAACGTTTGGAATTCCAGGTGCATCTGATTTTTCATGGCGCCTCAACAACAAGACGTGTGAACACTTAGTAAGACAACATCAAAAACAGGTGTTGCTCCTTATCAATGACTTGGGCCGACTCTTGTTCATGTTTCTTCATGCTCATTCACCTCCAGCGTCAGACTGGCTGCTAGCTCCTTGGCCACGGAATCTGAGCTACTCCTCTGGCAGCATGGGCTCCAAAAGTCATGGGTAGCACTCTGATGTCGATTTGACCAAGATCGATGTTCGCGCACGTGGTCTTTAGCGAGGAAAGTGGGAAGCCGGCTGACAAAAGAAATTGGTCTCGAGCAAATTGGACGAGTCTTCCTGGTTTTAAACCCCCTTTGTATGGGGCGAAGATGTTTTCAAGCCTTGATTGAACCTCAAAACCTTTCATGAAAGGCTCCGTGAAGTCTCTGACTACGAAAGTTTCATCCCGAGACGCACTGGTGTAAAGAACCCAAAAAAACATCTTTCAGAGGTTCATGTTCAAGTTCAATGCTCGGAGAGGTGAAGATGTCTTGAGCCCCCATTGTCCATGGATGTTCATATCGTTTGGTTACATCTGGGCCGTGTCTTCTCTCAACTTCTTGTTTCTTCGATGTCCACCCTTCGATTCGCTGCCATGATCTACTCCGGCCACACGGTCCAGCCGCACGCTGCGGGGTCGGACACGCAGCGTCTGCTCGGTGCGAGCCCAAAAAGGTCGTGACTTGAAGGCTCTCGCTATTGGAGCTGTGCGGCCATTCTTATTGTTGCCCAGGCAAGTCCCCAGTTGGTGTAGTGACTCTCAAGTGGGCCATCGTCTAGTCAGTCCCCCCACGCCTCCAACGTTCTTGGGGCTCAGCTGGTGAATGCTTAAGTTATCGTAAATTCCTTGGAGGATGCAGTGTGTGTGTGTGTGTGCCCCACTCCGTTTCCAGGAGTCTGTTTTCCATCTCAACAAAAAGTGCAGCATCTGTGGTCCACTGCACGCAACGAAGCTACGACCACAGATGGGAAGGGATCAAGGACGCTTGATCCTGTACCTGCTCGACAACACACTGACTCCACTTTTTCCGTGCTTCTTGTTGGTTCCATGGTCCTTTGCATGATATCCCCCCAAACCATGCCCCCGCAGATTCGCAGCTGCGTCGCCACTGAGTGATTCTGCAGTCAAGTGAAAACACCGCTGTTCAAACATTCTGTTTCCGCGGGCTCAGCCACCTTTCCGTTACAGCGCTCCTTTCACTGTGGATTATGGCATTGGATGAAACCTTATCTAAGTGTGTGTATGTGTGTGTGTGCGTGTGTGCGTGTGTGCGTGTGTGTTTGGGTGGGTGGGTGGGTGGGTGGGTGGGTGGATTCAGAAGCCGCCTTCAACGCTTTAGTTGCAGGGGGATCACCGAAGGACTTGTTGGTACCTCTATCGGCTTCAAAACTAGCATCCAAGCTCTGAAAGAAGACGCAACACTCACCACGACCTAGATCGGTGAGTTGTGTGTGTGTGCTGTGTTTTCCGCCCCTGGACCAAAATGCTGACCATCTACTAGGAGCAAGGACGCCATTAGGGGTTCCTGGCCTTACTACTAGGAACAAGGACGCTACTAGGAAGCTGAATTGAGCATCACCACGTGCTTTCGACCCCGGTGGACGCGCGGTCACGACGCGGGACCCGCCAAGTTGGCTCACCGAGAGCTCAATGGGTTTCAGAATTGATTTTCCTTGGGGCCACCCAGGAATATGTCTCGACTTGTGGACATGACTCCGTCTTTGGAGTTGTTTTTCAATCCAATCCACCCCTACATACCTACCATCTTCATCCATCTTCTTCTTTAACCCCAAGAAGTGGCTCCAAATCGCTTCTGGTCAGGGTCCCCGCGTGCCCGGTCGTGGACACCGCGCTCTCCGATGGGACCGTCCTCGCGGCCCTGAAAAACGGCGGAGCCGGTCGACCGCCTTCACGCCGCTCAAGCGGAGGCCAAGCCTTGTGCCGAGACGGAAGCACAGTCGGTGAAGTGGACGACTGTGCTTGTTCTGTACATTACTTTGAACTGATATGTGTTCTGATACGTTTGGTGATGTAAAGCCAAGGGTAGTTGCCACAGATGGACTTCCGGAAAACATCGGAAACACTGATCATCCACATCGAACACGGATCACATGCCAAAATCGGAATCCTCGGCAGGACTTGAGATCTCGGATCCCCAGTTTGGGATACCATCAAACCGGCCGGTCGTCCTCCGGTCCATCTTGTCTTCAAAAACGTGTGTGAATGTGTTTGATTTGGCCGTTGTATCTATGTCCGTTTCTTAGCGGTGCGAGGCACGATCTCGTGGCACGCCGAGAGGGGAAAAAACATCCACAACGTAACACACGTGCCGCCGTAACTCTTGCGGGTGGTGAAATGAATGGTTTGGAGGATCAGTATCTTTCTTTGTGTAGTTTACAAGGACCTGCTTTGACGCCTCTAGCAGGGCAAGATCCAAATGATAGGAGTGGGAGTCACCTTACCACAAATAAAGCTCTTGATTGAAGAAGTATTCTTGGCACCTTTGTCAGGGAGTCCAAGTCCAAGGCACAAGAGGTTGACCACGCATTGCCGCATAGGGTTTCTATATATCAAATGTTCCTCCTGAATTGATAGGTCTTCCATGGTCTTCCGCATGCAAAGAGGGTGGAGATCCATTGCACCCATCAACATCATCTTCGTAGGGTGCACACTCCTCTCCAAATAAAAATACACACCTCTCAAGAAGACGCAAAAAGCACCGCACCCACACTCTGTCTTGCTGACCAAGGGGCGGGAAAAGGACGAAATCAGTGACATCAGCAAGCACGTCAGGGCCAGCAAAAGTAGCGTTGGCAGACTCAGTGGTGAGAACTCTTCAGGCAAACGTTTGTCCCGTCATGAGCAATTCTGGGGATCCCCATACGAGATGGTATTTGAGGATGTCTTGGGCGACTCCTACCTCATGCGATCCGCAGGGGTAACGAAATATGGATGATTAGGGTGTATGTCCGCAGGAATTCTAGGCTTCCAAAAGATAGAAAAAAGTTGTTGACCAATGTTGACCATGGCAATCGGGCAGAAGGAGAGTCGCTCTGACCTCTTCAAACGTATGAGTTGGATATCCCACTACCAGCATTGACAATGGATCATGCTTGGGGGCTTTTGATCCAAGTAGTGCTTAGTTTCGGACACATTCGGGGTCAATGCAGTCAATGGTTCACCAGCTGTGGCAGCTGGAAAATTAACCATTCACACAAAGGTTGAAATCCTCTGGATTTGATCGACTTCCACTCTGGGACAACCCCAAATCGATCTTTCATTCAGAAATTTGGCAGACTTAATGTAGACTCTTGATGAATAGAGCCCCTCATATGAAGAGGGACTGCATTACTCCAATTTGGCCTGTCCTTGTATCAGCCGGGTACCACCATCTTTTGAACGGTCCGGACGGTCGCCTCCCACCGTGTGGAAGCGAAAAACGTGATGTCATGCCTGGCAGAACAAAGTGAAGGGTGTTGATTGGCAGATTTAATATGATGTCATCGAGTTCTGCCGCCCAAGGTTAATTGTTGCAAGTTGTTGCCGCCCAAGTCACAGCCACGTTTTCGCTGGCACCACTTCGGTGTCAGCCCTGACCACCTGCATCCGTCGGCACAGGTCTTTGACCGGTGCGTCGTTCGGGAGGTTGGAGGCTGTGCTAGTCCCACCAAATTTGGGCCCATCAGCTTTGCAGAAACAATTACGTAATTCAAAAAAGAATACATACAAGTATACGTACATAACTATGTACATATATATATATATACATACATAAACTTAGTCTGGAGGGAGCTTCAACAGCAGCTGCCTGCCCTGAGGCGTCCTACAACCTTCGTCAGAGCCAGGGTTGCATCGGGATTTGTGAGAGGCGTTTCTGATCCAACCGAGGCTCTTAGTGTAAGCCATATCTTTTGTCCGAATGCACCGTGACCAGCAACACCTGTAAAACCCAGCCACTCCTTTTTCGTCACTCAACTGTCTCTGTCAGGCTGAGCTGAGTTGGATTCTCTCAGCGTCTTCTCTCAACATCTTCTATCATTCTTTCAAGAAATCAATGGTTTTTTGAGTGGAGTCCTACTTATCCACCCCAAACATCACCCTGACATCACCCCAAACATCGCCCGGCTCGCCCGGCGAGGACACCTCACCTCTGAGGACACCAAGTCCTCTCGTTCTCGTTGCTTGGGCGTGGAAGGAATGCGGTTGGCGCCGGGGGTGATCCAGATCGTCCGGCCTCGGTCCCCACTGCGGCCGATCGTCCGCGGAAGGTGGTCGTTCCGAGGAAACGGTCAGCGGCGTAGGTCAGGGGACCGTCCGGAACCCTTCCGGAGGACCTTCCGGAGGACCCTTCCGGATGAGAGAAGAGAAGTGGTAGTCGATGACATGTTCGCGGAAGATACTGATTTGGGAGATGAAGAACCGTTTTTTCATATATTTAATATATCCATCAAGACTGGCTAGAGCACTTGAAGAGGTGATGGATTTAGACTGATGTAGAGTGGACCAAACCAAAGTGCTTTGTAATGCAGTGCCCTATGGCTAGCGGCTAGAATCTCGAAAAGTAAAAGCCTGGCCATGTGCCCATTGTTTCCGCATCCAAAAGACTCAAAAGACCCTCCTGCTGCCGACTCAGCTCCCTGTCAGGCTTGGCTCCCTGCCTTGCTCCTCCACGACATTCCCCAGGTGGTCCTTCCGGTCGGTGCAAAGCCAGGTATCATCATAGCCTCGTCCACCGGGAACAAAGCGCGTGGGCGGCCCTTTCTTGTGCAGCCTATCCGATGAAGCCGGATGGATCCTGATCAACCCCCTCACATCCCCCCTCTCCCGACCAGTCAACATGGGACGCTTGTGAATGCGAGATGGACTAGGTGGAGGTTATTTCCTTCCCACCGGCTCATGGCCGTTTTCTCACCAGGCCAGTGAGCGTTGGAGGCTCCCTTTCTAGGTCTTGAGAGAAAAACGACCACCTCGCGTGAACGGCACCGACACCACGCTGAACGTCACTGCCAAGGCACTTTGCCAACCTGACCGGCCGGGACCCCAGGTATTCGCTGCCGAAAACCTAAGTCGAAGCGATTTGAAGGGATGTGAGATCTAGGGATTCGAGATGAGACTGTAGGTAAAACTTGACTGGTGCGATGCAAGTAGAGAATGAGACGAATGAATCTCCCACAAGCATACCTTAGGATATCATCTTAGGATCCAGCCACCGGTATTCGTTACGAGTCGCATGAGTCAGTGACGGATTGATTTAGCAGAGACTCGCTGAGTTGACGACTTTCATGGCAAGCATGTAAAAATATACTTATGACAAGTTTGTGATCTGTCCTGACATGGAAGCATAAAAACCCTGCTGCTCCAGAAGGGCAGAATGTCTGCGAGGGAGGAAGTGACTTTAGAATGCCAAAGAGTGAAGCACCCCCCCCAGGACGATCAACTCTTGGGGGACATGGAGATTTCTCAAAATTCAAACGGACATCCTAAAGTATCAGACATTTGGAGCCAAACAAAGTGAGTACGTAGATCGTGCACACTGTTGATGGCTGATGGAATGCTGGCTGACGCAGCAACTGCCAGCAAGCTTGACAGTGGGTTGTGTAGGAAATACCGAAACAAAACATGTGCTTACCAGGTCAAAAAAAGAAAAACGAGCATAGAGATGCATAGAGTAGTATGTGATGTGCTCTTGGCAGCATCAGTACTCCTGCACCACTTGCTGGAGATACCCCTCTGAGGAAAAAGAACAACTGGCTTTGTAAGAGTTGCACGACGATCCCATGGTTCCTGAAAGAATACAGGAGGAACAAGAAGCTACTAGCAACAAAGGGCATCGCTACTAGGAGCAAGGAAGCTACTAGTAGCTCGTGGCCATACTACTAGTAACAAGAAGCTACCAGAATCCGGGATTCTTGGGGGCTCACAACAAATTCACCATGAGTCACAATAACAAGCACCTAAGGCTCCCAACACCCCCGTGCCATCCCGACACGTCCCTCATCAGACCGGTGGCAATTTGGCTATCACTTGGGGGTTGGCACCTGGTCGCGAGAGCGGAACCGTTCGTGCGGTGCGCCGAAACCAAACGCACCGTTCTTCGGCGTCACACCGCGATGTTGGGGGGAAACAAACTTAGCTAATAGCAAGAATGCTACTAGTAGCAATGTCAAAAGCTCCGTTCGTAGCGTCCTTGCTCCGTTCGTAATGCCAGGAGCCCCGTTCGTAGCTTGTTAGATGGGTGAACGACTGAGGATCCACTTTCCATCAAAGGGATTTGTCCAGCATGGTCCGGCCCAAACCGATCAGGGAAGATTCAAATGAGTATTAGATAGATAAATCATTATAAATCAATTTGTTTGTCGACCAAGCTTTTGGTCTCAGTCGATCTGGTTTGTGCACCGTCAGCACTCACTGTGTTGCTCTAAAGGAGGTTGATGGTGCGCCGTTCGGTTACTCAAAGAATCTGACGCACAAACCATCTGACAAGTCCCCAAATGATTGGCCCCGCAAAAAGGTACCAAAATGGGGTGGTGGTTACCGGGACCCAAAACCGCCAGGGGCCAAAGGCTGGAGGGTTGTGGAGGCAACCGACATCACCCACAAACTCGAACCCTGTCAAGAGCAAAATAAGACCTCAAGGTGTGTTTCTTGGGATGCCCAGGAAAGGAAAGTACGGTTTATTCACGCCCCCGGCACCAGTGGAAGGCAGGCCCTTGTTGGCCACGGGTCCCTGGGCCCGTTCACCCCGCCTGGCAGCCCCAGCATTCGGCCGAAACTCAAAAAGCCGATGTTGTAGCCCTTAGGGGCGGGGCGCTTGCTTGCGCTTAAGCTTAAGCTAAGCGGCGGACGAACCGTTGCCACCAGGCGACGCGGTGTTCGATTTCAGCTGGAAATGGTACCAACTAATTGGTAGTCTGGGGCAGCCCTGGTGAATCCTCAGGAAGTACCTGCTGAATACCATTGGGGCAGCCCTGGTGGGTGTTTGGCGTTCTCTCTTAAATGAAGCTCTGCAGAAGTGCGAAGGCGCCATCACTACTGGCACCTCGTATAGTGTGGTCCATGCATGGCAAGGAGCGTCAAGTACGAATAGCCAGTAGTGTCCTCTCTGTTGGATGTCTCATAGACCAATGGCAACAATTCCTCCAGAAGTTAGCGGCTATGAAGCGTGCCATCTCATGAAGGGTGCTGAGGTTTGCAGCACATCGCATGAGTGCCGGACCAAATCTGTTGTCTAGCCTAAGGGCACAGATTTGACTGGGTCGGCCCCTGAGTTCGGGAGGTTTGGCAAAGAGCATCATTAGATGGGTCGGCCCCCATCAGTGATGCAGGTTTCATGCAGGTTTCCTATCCACATCCAGCCCGTGACTATGTTATAGTCTTTGCATGTCTTTGCAGCCTTTGTCGGATGCCCACACCACAAATTGTCTTGACACCTTCATCGCCAGTCAATAACCCAAATGAAAATGCACCACCAAAGGCCGCCCGAAGTTGGGCGAAGTCGGATTTGAGTTAGCCTTTGAACATACTGAACCTATTGAACCAAGGCATGTTGAAAACAGCGACGAAGTCGACCCCGAAATCCACGGAGGAACTCCACAAAGCCGCCAGGGGGCAGACTTGAAGAAGCGTTCCCCAAAGGCACGGTCGCCGGGGGTGCTCATCTGGAATTGGAAGAGGTCGCGATTGTTCCTGAGCTGGCAAATCAGAATGTGTAATCCCGCAGCAGGATGTTGAAGGAAAAAATACCAAGGGTAAGACCCACTGGTAACCGAGATGATTCTCCAACCATTCCAAAAACCCAACCCCACTCGGTGAACTCGGTAGATGTGTGAAAAGCGAGTGGAGACGTCGGCAGAAGACCAGGTGCAGAAGACCAGTACAGTTGGAGACATCGGCAACCAACATCGACCAGGTGCAACGGGACCCAACGGCTGGACGGGCTCCACAGAAGGGCTCCAACGGAAGAAAGAACTCTTCGGTCAGGCTGCTGGAAGCATTCTTGATCGTCGGGGTCGGTGGAGGTGTTGCAGGCCACAGTGACCCGGATCCCATTCCTGGCGCGTGAGCTGGGGCTCGATGTTTACTTGCAAGACTCCATCTGGGACTCCAGCGGATTCCCTGCTAACCCTTCTTGAATCTTGCTTCTAGCAGGAACATGTTTAAGATTGTTTCAGGAGTCCTTCTCCGCTCCATTGAGAGCTCACCTGAAAGCTCTCAGTTTCGGTGAGCCGCTCAAGGTGTCCTGGGCCTGCTACATCGGTGTCTGCGGATCCCATGAACCGGTTCAAGCGGCTCCAAACTGCCCCCCAAACTCTCCGGTGCTTCCAGGGCCTCGCGGCACACATGTCAAGTTGCAACTCTCTGGTGCTTCCTCTTAGGAGTGATCGCTAGTAGGTTGGAGGCGGAGGCCATCGCTAGTAGGTTGGAGGCCATCGGAGGTTCTCTCCCCCAAACTCTCAACGGACGCGATGAGCCACGAGGCAGAAAAATCTGCGACCCGCCCCACATTATCTCACCTCCCCTCATCCCAGAACTCGAAGCTTTCGTACCTGGACTGAGCAAGCATGGAGTGGAGAAGAGTCTGAGAAAGTGCTACAAAGCGATGAATGTTGTGCGGGCTAGGACTTGATCCGAAGATGTTCATTAATTGATCAATATATAGATCGGTCATATATGGTTCTCATTTTGGGGGGATCAGAATCAATTTAGGCAAAACTAATGCCGTTGATCTCGTTTTGCCTCACACAATCATGGTTTAGTGGAAGTAACTTTGGAAGACCCTCTTCCTCAAACGGATCATCTTCACCGGTCTTCACCCCGCCAATCCTCCCGGGCGCACGCGCGGCTCCAGATGTGTAGCATGCCCCACAAAGCTCGGCCCACAGCCCAGTCGGGAATCCCCACACTCATCAAGGAGTTCCTCAGATCGCAAGTTCAAGTGCGCGGTTCGTTGGTGAAAGAGTTGGGAGAATCCAAGGAAAGTCTGTAAAATCAAGAATCAAAAAATATTCATAGAGGACTTGTGGCGGTATTTGTTGCCAAATTTCCAAGCCCTTTGGGCTCTAACATTCCAAGCAGGGAAGGCAGTTCTGCAAACACCCGTCAGTTTCACTCAGGGATACCTTCTAGAATCCAACACAATACTCGTCTAGTTGCATTGCCGATTGCTGCTTCTTTGTCAACTTCTCTTATTCCCAAATCCGCCGACCCCGTTCTAGCACCGAGAGCGTGAGCGTGAGCGGAACCGGGACGGCGTGCTCCTGAGAATAGTTCGGTATAGGTATAGCTGGGGCTTGTCCACCAACCAGCGCTTTGCTTTGACATTGGTCATGTTTGAAAAGGAGTGGGGACCGTCAGGCTTTTTTCGCGGTACAGGCGGTGTCCAGGCTGAGGTCCCGGGATTGGACTCCCCCCTGCGCACCTCCTGGACCTGGCGTGGAATACGAGGCAACCCCAATCTTGCATAGTGGTCCCCCGCGCGCGCGCTGCCAACGGCTAAAATATTCTAGCATTTCTAGTACGATTGGGTTGTTGTATTAGTTTCTGATGCTTCGATGGAAAAAATCATTCTTTGCCACGGCGTCGGCCATGGCCGATCCTTGAGCCAAGGCCTCTTTTTGCACCAGTGCCATGGTGTAACTGTGTCGCACGGTCGCCGAACCCCCGCGCTCTTCCCTCCGCCCCTTAAATCCGGGCGCCGGCCACGCGCCCGTGTCCTTGCCGGAGGCCTTCGGTTGGTAACCGAAGGTTATATACGAGGACCCCCTGCCGCCGACCCATGCCCCACGAAACCGTGTCGACCCTGGTCGTACTTTTACCTTGCAAATTATAATAGATTCTGCGCCTCCTGATCTTCCATGTCCATCCAACAACATCGGCCTTGAAAGGACCAACATATCCCCAAGATGGGCCAACATAGCCCCAAGATGGGCCAACATAAGCTCAAGACAGGCTCAACTTGGGCCCAAGATAGGCCAACATAGGTCCACGACAGGCTCACATAGGCCCAAGATAGGCTCAACACATGGGCCCAAGATGGCCCAACATAGGCCCTAGCTGGGCCAACATAGGCCCAACACAAACCCAAAATGGGCCCAACATCGCCCCCACACAGCCCAAAGATGGTCCAACATAGGCCAACATAGGCCCATATGCCCAACATAGCCCCAGGATGGGCCAACATAGCCCCAAGATGGCCGGCGCCCGGCTGTCAGGCGTAAGCCTTTAAATATCACTTCACTAAGCTTGAGAATCACTGTAGCATATTCTACTCACCGTCTATCCGAATCTATCCCTCACACAATCCATTGGGGGGGGGCACCGAGCGCTGCCGAAACCGCGCCGAAACGGCACGCGCTGCCGAGATGCATCTCGAAGACGGAGGCCAAAATCCTCCGAAGTTTCGAGTCCTCGCTGCTGGGGAAACTGGAAAGCGCTACAATGACGCTGATGGGCTCGCTGTGCTCGTTGTGTAGTACAATGTAATGTGATGCAATGTGTTATAGTTTGAATTATTTTAATGCATATCAGAGTGATGCAAACAAACAAGTCCACAGTTCACATTCCACATAAATTAAATATGTTGGGTTGGGGGCTCGAGGTTAAAGGGGTGTGTTGTTGAGACCCACCCACAACAACTCGGGGCACAAAGAGAAGAGTTGGAGATAGACAAAGAGGAAGGCTGGGGACCTATCTCTTTTACATGATCATTTACAAATTTGAATGCCTTGTTAGTATACCACTGGTCTGTTACATGAGACTGGTTGGTGGCAGTACATAGCAACAAACAAAGAAGCCACAAAATGGACTAAAATATGTATGTTGAGGCTTGCCTACTAGCCGTGGCAGTCGGTAAACAGATTTGACCTGTGGGGCCCTCCCAAAAGTTGCACCGAACTGTCCGCCTTTTGGTTGGTACTATAGCCCAGCATTAGCCCGGCCTTCTTGCTCACTGGCTGCATTGGCAATATTCAGTTGGCAGGTTTCACTTTAGGGGTTTAGGTTTGGGTCATGGGCCAGGGGAGGCTTTGATGTCAGGAACTGGGGTCAGTGATCAAAAGGTTCTACTTCTGGAGTTCGGAAGTGCTTGGTGAGGCAAGTGCTTCACACGTCTCTGTGTGAGTGTATGAATGTGTATGCTGGGATTTGCCGGGATAGTGTTGTGGGTGCTTGGAGGCCAGGGTTCTGGAGATCTTGGGGATGTTTTGGGGACCAGGCACTATTGCTCTGGTGTCCACTCACCATCCCAATCGCATCATCTCGAACTCTCATTCTACCTCCCCCATCCTCCCTCAATGGACTGTCACCTCCACTCCGCGTCGCTCCTTTAACGGGATCAGCTCATCCTTGTGCTTCTCGTAGTACGCCGTGGCGCTCTTCCGCGAGTACTCCGCACCAAGCACCTGGCACCGGAGAGTGCAGTGCCAACAACCACGGAATCCACCAGCTTTGCTGGAGAAAGCGAGGCGCCTTACATCCTGTTTGAAAGAAGACCTACGGCTCCAAGAAGAAGGACGGCAGAAGAGAAAAGTCAGTTGGACGCGGTCAACCTCCCGACAATCAACCTCTCTACTTGATTGTTTAAAGTGATCGCCCTCAGCTTCAATCCCACATGAGGAGCCCGCAAAATCGCTGTCAAAGTTGATAGGAAGTGGAGTGCCCGCTCACGAAGTGGTGTGTTTCTACCCTGATTCTCCAGCTACCGCTACCCCTGCAGGCTAATATGAAGCCTGCAAGCAACTGCTTCGTAGAGGAAACCGCCTAGGATCCGGTGTTGGTTTTTGAGCAGTTGCGCAGCTCAAACTTCGAGTTTTTGATGCGACCCACCCCACAGTGTTCTTCAGCTCTCACTGGATCTCGCCCAAGCAAAAGCATCGCCGTTTTTGGGCGCCGCATTGCAATCATGAAAAATCATCCAAAAAATACGGTACTGTAGCTGTTGGAGGAAAGTGAAAGTGATTTTCTGTTTCCGGAGGATTCCAGTGGACAGAACCTCTTCCATGTTTGTTTCAACCGATGAAGTGTCCCAAATCAGATCCTCAAGGCTTATCAGGGCAGCCATCTCTTTGAGAAGGTGAGCTACTGCCTCCCTCTCTGGCCAGTGTTGGAAACCCACCCACCCAAAAAATTGAAAGATCGAGAGTATAATGATCTGACCTTTCCTAATGATTTTGAACCACCCAGCTTTGATCTGGACGAAAATGTCAAGGCCAACCTGCCCCTCGCACCCACCCCTAAACAAGAACAACACCCGGCACCCGCCCGAGGGCGCTCGTCTCTTCCCTCACCCCACCTGTTTCAGGTGCTGTCGGAGCTTGATCGACTCCGGAAGCGTGGTGAAATCAAAGCCGGTCACTTCTAAGACCAGAGGCGCTACGCCTTGGTGAGGCCAGCATGCGCGCATGAATGCGGCAAAAAAGCGCTGAGATGGTTCCCAGGTCGGGTGACCAAGGACCCGAGGAGCTTCTCCTTCGTGGACCTTCGCACAAAGCCTCAACACCTGGCACCGACTGCGGTTGGAGCGGACCAAGATCCTGCGTGCTTGGAGCCAAGGGGCTCAGGTCCCTCGGCGGCCGCAGCACCGCGAAGATCACCTGTGCTCTGCCGGAGCCAGTGGAGCCCCGGCAGGGCCATGAATCCAGTGCGGGCTGAGTGAGGCAGGGACTGAGTGAAAGAAACATAGTATGTTTAGTGGCCAACCTAAAAGCAATGGCCTCCAACCTAAAGCACCTAGAAGCAATGCGAAAGAAAAACAGAATGTGGCATCCATGATTCATGTTGATTCATCACGATTTCAGATCCAACATGAGGACAAGGGCTTATCTACCTTCTCGCTGCGCTTGTGCAAACCCGGGTTGACGGCAAACTTGATCAAACTTTGGTTGGAGTGTGTCAAGCATCCTTGCCCTCCACTTCTCCTCCTTATCTTCTTTCATCTCCTCTTTGGCCTCAGAATTCTTTTTGGGGCACCTGAATCATCCTATAAGGGTGCCGCCATGGTGATTCCTGGACTTGGTCTTTCTCTTTCACGGTGCCGACCCGTCCCCCACCTCCCCGTGGAGCCGCAAATAGGCGCCGATCCGCGAGCGTGTGGCGATCTCTCCGTACACCTGACACCGGTCACCGTCGTCTGCGAGCGGACGGAACCGTTCGCTGCAAGCGGAAACGCTGGGATGTTGAGGGATTCCATGGGAAAAAAATAGTAGCGATTGCCTCCACCCTAAAAGCATCCAGGAGGTTGAGGGCCTTCTTATTCTGAGGGGTGCAATCAGGAGTCCTCAAAGGGAAGAGTTCGGGGCGTCTTGCTCCTTCTATCATTGCTATCTACATGACAACAGGATTGCGGGTTGGCCCCGATCGGTTTTGCAAGGTTCTGATCACTTCGAAAATACTTAAGGCATGTACTGCAGAAGATTACGGAAGTCTAGTCGGATGCTCATATCTGCGTGATGCTCTTCGGCCCCCTCACCTGTTGCAGGTAGCAGAACCTCAAAGGTATCCCTTAGGCCCTCCAGAGCTGTGTGGCTCTGTATGCGTTGCTTAACACCAACAAGTCTGAACCATCCCACGCCATGGCTTCCCAGTGGATCGATCCGTGCGGGTGACGCCTCCTTCTGGGAGAGTTTCACACAAAGGGTCGCCAAGCAGTCCTCGTTTCGGGCAGTCCGTTGGACTCGCAGGGAGCCCTTCGGAGTGGACCCGGTGGTTTGGAAGGACCGGTTTGGGCTGGTCGATGTCACACTATGACCAAACTGCGCGGTCTAGGGAGTTCGGACCAACTGCTAGAACAGCTTCATCCACTAAACAGGAGTCCAAGTAAAAAGAGGTGGCTCACCGAAACTCACCGACCCATTTACAAAGAGGTAAGAAGATCACATTGTTCGATGAGAAGCTGAGGAGACCGCCTGAACGTGAATTCTGCCTGATTGATATTGATTGGTCGCTCTCAGTGATGCTTGGAGGCGCCAAACAGAACGACGGCCCAGCGAAGCCACACGACCCATTGATGGTCCTTCCCTCTCGTGGGCAGCTTCGAAAAGTGCGGCTTGCAATCGGCACCTTCTGCGAACTCCACACTCCTGCAAGATGAAAAGAAGGCGCCCGGTTTCTCTTGAGCCATCTGTGAATGGAAGGGGTCAGCATGGTGAAGACTACAGCATCCACCATTTAGCAAGGGTCTAGTGAGATGACAACACTCTAGTAAACAATGGGAGATCGTCCACTTGGCGGGTATCAATAGTAGGGTTGATGCAAGAAAACTAATAAACACGTGCTGGGATACTACAGTAGAAACATTGAACTATGTTTGAATATCTATAAAATTCTATAAATAGCTTCCGGATTCCTGCAAAAGGAGGCCTTTCCATCACAGGGAATCACGGGATCTGGTGGTGCAGGACTGCTTGTCAACCAGTGTCGTGTACCGGCCTCAACAAAACGAGAAGATAAGGGACAAGTTGACAAGTTGTCAACCCCTCCCACTCCAAATCATGCTCCACGAAAGTGGATGACCAAGCATAGGGTAATGTGGCTCGGAGTGTATGACTCCGGTGAAAACGATCGCAGGGGCCCCTGGCTTTTCGGCGATGGCACGGCCGCGCTGGACCCCGCGCTGGAACGCCGCGCCTGACCACCCGTGGGATGTGCGAATAGAGGCCGCGCAGCAGGGCCGCTGCGATGCCTGGGCGAGATCGGTATTGACGATGGAAAGCCACGGGGCCCAGTGGCACAAGCATGACCTTTTCAAACGATTTCAGTACGGTCCAGGATTCTCTGTCGCTATCCTGCCGTCCCACTAAAGACAGAGGCGGAGGGCCTCCTTACAAGAGTTCAAGGCAGCCGCAATGGCTCAAATGTGAACTGAAATCGGTTCCGAACAGTGCTCACACCACTGACCCGCACATGGGCTGTGGGGGTCCTCCATTCCAAAAATACACCAACAAGTCAAGCCCTGGGGTGGGTGGACCACAAGATCGGTGCTTTTTCATCGTCCACCGGGTCAACCGGTGCACCCTGCTTTGGTGAAGGTGAGGGGAGGAACTCTCGCCCTCCACACCTCTGTTGAGTTAGAGGAACTCAGGAACCATAGGTGTTTATGGGTAACTACGGATCGACTATGGATGAGAAGCGCAAAGGAGCGACTTAGTTGAGGGCGCCCAAGCACCCAAGCTTCGCTCAAGCAACCTGTTGTATTTCCTATTACTGGGGTACACTGCGCTACACGACCTTCATCGTCGAGACCTGCTGAATCTTTAAACCATCAAAGGAGCTAGTAAGTTGTGCTAGTTAAGTCTATTTCTGGTTTCTCGACTGTTTTCGACCAACCTGCTCCCTCTTTGAGAAAGTACCTTGCATGCAAATCCTGGCAAGTTCCCCACAGCCATGCTGGAGATCTTCTGGTCAAGAAGTCAAGCTCGGTTTCCCAAATGGAATTCTCGACCTTCCTCTCAATCAAACACATGCCCAAAACGAATTGTCGTACAATGAAATTGTCCCAAGATCGATGGTCATCTTGGTTCATCATCGGAATGAATGTTGTGTTTCAGATGTTAAACGGATACCAACAAAGACTCAACATCCACCATCTAATACAAACACCACATGGGGATCGCCCGAGCCGCTGAAAGCATGGTTCCACGCTTCACCCCCTTTCAGAGTGGACCTTGGCACCGGTTTCGCGCCGTTTCCCACCGTTTCAGTGACAGGACACGGGCACGGGACCCCCGGGTTTCAGCTTGTTTTAATTGTGGAAAGACCAAAAGAATCTGGAGAATCTTCTGATCAACCGCACCAAGGAAAAAGTCAAAACCATGGAAGATATGAGACACTAGAGTCACTAGAGTCACTAGTCTGGACTACTTCTGGGGTCTCCCCATGAACAACTTTGTTTTGTACAAGAATAGAACACATGTTGAAGCTGTCACAAAAAGTCATAACGGCATATTACTTGGAATGTTTAACTTGGTTTGTCGATTGGAGAATCCTGTCACTGCAATTCGGGCATTGTCTGCCAAGACCTTCTCAGTGCAATCTTCATGTTCGAGCCCACAACCAGCTGAATTTGAAACGTGTTGAAAAAAAGACTCAACCAATCTCAACAATATGTGTCCAACCTGGACCAAAGGAACGACTCTCACCCAAGTTTGTGCAGCTCGTGTGGTTACAGCACTAGTTCCTAAGCTTGTTGACTTTCGTCTCTCATGTTTTGCCCAGATCTGGAACCAACTCAGAAGCTTCAACAATTTTGTCAATGCAAGACTGCAAGAACACAATATGGCAAAACAGACGGTGTGCCTTCCTTTTTGTAATACATCAACAAGAGTGAGTAGGCTAAACCCCCAAGGATCAAAGCTGTATCTGTACCCACTCGCAAATGACGTGGGACCCCACTGCTTGAGCCATCTTTGCTGCTGAAAAATCACTGCCTCGGCCATCTACCCGGTTGCTTCCGTGGGTCGGACCGTGGGACGGTCACACACCAAGGGACTGCGCCGAGGTGGCACCGACCTCATTGAAGCGAGCCAAAGCCGCTTCCAGGTGCTGTTTGGTCACCGAGTGGAAGCCTCCCTCGCAGCTCCTGGAGTGGAGCTGTGGACGCGCGTCGGCCGCTTTGGGCAGTGGGCTTTTTTACGTGGCGCCACCGTGCTTTGGGGTGTGGGATGGTAAGTGGGATGGCCAGCTCTTTGTGAGTTAGGTTGCCAGAGGCAATCTGAAGAGATAGGATGATATAGATATAGTTTATAACAGTAAAATGATCCAGCGGCTCGTGGTGGAGCATGAGATTGGGCTCAAACTGCACACCAAATCGGCTACTCCGATACTCCGACAACCGAAAACCCTCCAAATTTTATTAAATGGGCTAAACTGCTCATGGGAGAAAGGGCAAACTCCCTCAATGGATCTCAGTCCCAATCCCAAAATCTCATGCGCCTGACATCTTGCACAAAGCTGGAGCCACAATGGAAATACGGAGCACACTGGCCCATGGCGCGTGCCGGCCGCACTCGGGCGAGCCAGAGCGGATGGTCTCGCGGCGAAAAGGAGCACGAATTCCACCGGGGGGTGTTGAGGTGATAGTGGGCCACTCCCACTACAAAGACTGCAATCAGTGCTTGATCGCTGCTAGGAACCATTGAAAGCAGCCTCACCTACGTCTTGGGCTCTTTCAGGGATACCAACAAAACGGGTGCCCAAAAGCATGTGCTTCCAAAAAGCACCTGCTCCCAAGGACTGGACTGGGATCTTGATGTTAAAAAGAACACCCGTAGCACAAGCACACGACGGGACCCTGACTCTTGTAGACCTCCCAAGTGCCCGTAGGAACCAACAAAACCCATGACCTCTCGAGGTGCTAGCAACCGTGGTTGCTCAACTGGAAGCCTTGGCCCTGTTCGTTTAAACAACTGTTGTTGGTAGCGGATGCGGAGGTCTTTCCCAGGTAGTTTGCGGGTACTCGAACATGGTGTTGCTTAACTTCCAAGGTTGGCTTGATAAAACAAGACAACCCGTGACAACCCGGTGTTTATGTCCAATCCAGAAACCCGCTCCTGCCATCCAAATGTGCCATGGTCAAGACCCTTTCTATGGGGATAGTCATCCTTCCGTTGCCAAGGGTCCCTATTGTATTTCTAGTCCCTACCGTAATTACCCTCCAACCCGATGCAAGCCAGTGTTTGGACCATGGCACACATGAGTTTCATAATGAGGAGACACCCCCCAAAACATGTTGGCCGAATCCAATGTGGGCCAACACCACTTGCGGAAGCTTCTCTAAGGCAAAGCAGCAAAGCTACGTTTCAATCCACCTGGGTCTCCAGCAATGCAAGCACACGGTCTCTTCAACTTCAAGAGCAACTCTGCACGCTTGGCAAACCTCAGGAAGAAACAGCGCCCGAGGGGCGTGGCGTCAACCCAGCTACGGAGCTACGGAAACCATGGGCACCGCAAACCCAGGTTAGACCGAAAACGAATATCGCAATTGGTTCCTAGTTGGAAGCTCAAAGAGGGTGTACTAGGCTCTGCCTCTATAGAAGAAGCCCAAAGACGTGTGGCCTGGCCATGTGGCACAAAGAGGCACTCTCTTCTTTCCGTCAGCTGGTCATAGCCGCAAACGGGAAGTTCTTCTTCCTGACACGAATTAGAACTCATCACCATAGCCTTCTTCTTCGCCTTCACCTGTCGACATGGGGGAGTGCGATCGCTCAGCATTCTGATGACAGTGAAAACCGGTCACTCTTATGGCCACAATACAAAGCAAAGCACATGCATCTCTGAGGTTGTATGGCTGTTAAATACGCACTATGATTCCTAATATTTAGCTTTATATAAAGGGGCATCCATCTTGGGGCCTGGCAAGACTCAAATATCACAGGGGATCGAAAAAGGCCATTTCGACAGCGGAAATCGACCGTGCACAGAGTCGACTTCCAAAAACAGGCGAAGAATTCGGCATCGTCATCTGTGTGCCCAGTCTGTGCGCATCGTCCTCCGTGGCGTTGACGCCACGTACTTCGGTACTTCGGTCGAGACTGAATGCAAATCCCAGTGGCCCTCAGCTGTTTCAATGCCGACCTCCTCGTAGTCTTTCCTCAGTGAGAAAGACCAAGAGGACAAAACCAAGAGGTTAGAACAACGGTTTTGATCTGCAGCTACTTTCTCAAATGCATGAGGGACATCTTAGATCTCTTCTGTCTCTTCCGAGCTTCTCCAAAGCGGCCAAGTCCTCACGAGCTTCAGAAAACTCGCCCTCTTCCATGCCTTCGCCCACATAGTGGTGCACAAAGGCACGCTTTGAGTACCTCGCAGCAACGCCCAAGAGGGTCTTTAAATCAGCCATCTCCAGAGCAGGCTGGGTGGATCCTGTGGTTGGCACAAACTGGGACGTTGGTGATGTGATCTGTGGTGATTTGCGGCATGGTCCGCCATGTACTTTTACGCGCACCTTGATGGCATCTACGAATCCTATTCATGCACAATTTATTTATATATATATATAGCTAGGTGTCTAACTATTTCCGAAACTCCAATTAAAGTGTCTCATCCTAACTTTATTGAATGATAAATGATACTGCCCATCTGGCAGTGGCCTGTGAGCTTTTCCTGGCAGTCACCTTGAGAGATCTGCAGAAGTCTGTATAGTGAGCTAACAAGGAGGCTAAGGCAGCGGTTTCTGTCTTTGCCAATTTGCCAATGTGCCACTAAATCTACATTCTTCATCAAGCAGCTCGCCGAAAGTACCCCTCGATGCACAACACAAAAACATGTAGGCGAAGATTGGCATGATTGGATCCCTCGATTCCTGAAAACAGGTACACTAGCCGCTGTAGCCAAGGCACATCAAGTCAAACTTGTGGTCGATGCGGGAGAAGACTTCCGCAATGGCCTCAGAACATGGTTCACTCTGCCCAACATCCGATGAATCGGCCTGCGAATCCATACCCACCAGTCACCAGACCCCCTTATAAACCCGGCAGAAAACAGGGTTGTTGACGTAGACTTTCGACTTTCTGTTTATTTCTCATGTCTCCCCTCTCTCCCCCTCTCTCCCCCTCTCTCTTTCTCTCTTTCTCTCTCTCTCTCTCTCTCTTGTCTTCCATATTTCGTCCTTCACACTC